GATGATGATGATGATGATGATGATGATGATGATGATGATGATGATGATGATGATGATGATGATGATGACATATCGTGTGGCTTCATCAGAGCTATCGTCATCTACTGATAGAATGGTACGATTTGCCAAAAATCACCAGTCGGGTCTGTAAATCGTCCAGTATGATTCACTGTCAGCTGAATAACCGATGACGGAGATTGAAAAGAGTATTCCAAATCACCCTCCTGCGACTGGCTGTCAGTCAACATAGCCTGACTGGTTGGAAGTTGACTTCGAAATGGTAAATTTGATTCATTCCACAGTCTGACCATCCCTAAAACGGCTGAGTACCTTTCCATATTGCACCTGTGCTTTCAATCATGGTGTTGAATACGCGTCCCAAACCTCTTTTTCAGAGGCATACCAATTTGGGTGGCACCACCTGAGAATATGGGTTGAATCATGCGTCCGGCATCAACGGTGTTGGGGCACAATTTCCCCTCCCCTGCTAAACAAATGGCCACCTACGTTGTTCCATCTGATTGACAGACAATCTGTACTGACTGGGTTGTTTACAACTTCAGCAAAATGGCCATCCTTGCTGTGTCATCCGCAACCGAGTTCGCTTGTTGGCCGATTCTTAGCGGATTTCCACTTCAAGGAGGAAGCCAAACAACTTTTGGGTCGCTTCTCATTGTTAATTATCCACAGGTGAAGGTTAGAAAGCCAGTAATAAGATATTCATCTCGTGCGGGCGGATGAATTGAAGCGGTTGTGTAACGATGCTAATTCAGCCTGGGTTGAAGGCTAAACAAATCGTCATTCGTTTTGAAAATCAGTCGCTTGTCTCCCACCAAATCTACCTTGAAGTGTGACACAAGTAAATCGAGCATCCTGGATGGGAGCAGTTTACAAACGTTTGCGAGACATGCACAAATTAACTATTCATTCCACGATTACATTGTTGTGTAAATGCAGAACCCACTCACTGACGATGCCACCTCGATCGATGATTGAAGTGTCTGCAGGCAAACGGATCAAAAACCAAGCAGGCCTAAACAGTCAACTGGATTGGTTTTTCATTCGCGGATCGCAGTTTTTTCTACCTGTGCTGCTGGACCAGTGCAGTCGTCTGATGAACGACTGAAACAAAACGCCCTTGTCGAATCGGGAATGATGACAAACACGGGTTCATTAGTGAGATGAAACAAACTCAGTTCATAGTACGCAGGGGGAATTGCGGATATGATGAGCTTATAACCGAGCCCCCACCTGTAGAGTCCGCATTTGACCTTCTCAGTGGTGTTGGAAGCCCATCGTTTTGTTTGCTGCAGAATAGCAGCTTCGAAACTGCACGTGTTATTTGATAGTGGAGCGGTTAATGAAGTCATTGAATTTGGTTAGACAAAACAAAGGTTACACCATTCACAGTCCCAGAAGAGCCACTTACTTCACGGTACTGAAAAGCCACCATTCGATATGAATAGGGTCCGTTTTTTCTTCCAAATCTTGTCGTATATCCGTGAAAAGATTCGGGAACGTTTTAGGGTCTACCAGGAAACCCGGATAATTATATTGCCGCGGGTCAGCTCAAAGACTCTGGGGGTTTGTGAGACGACACCTTGGTTAACAGTATGAATGAATGCTTGAACTTTCACAGGCTACCAAAAGCTTGCACAGCGGCAAAGTCGCCAAAATGTTGAACAACACATGCAAGGAGCTGTATGGCGCCTTTTTTAAAACCTAACCCCAGCTTACTTTGAAAATGTTACTGAATTAGCTTAAGAATGTTTGCTCTGGTTTCCGACAAACAGCTTTCATGTCAGTGACATACACGTATTTGCATACCAATTTGGTTTTCACGAGAGACTCAGCTAGAACCCGATTGAAGCTCTCGCTTATGATGTTTTCAAGCCACTGAATGTGCTTCATCAGGCCGCCCCATGTTGCAGTTGGCACGATATTCGAGACGAGATACATTTTGTGGACACAATGCACTACTCATAAGGTTGCTTAAAACTCTTCGTCAACACACGACCGGTTTCGTCCTTTTTACGGCTCGTTAAGTAGACACAATCCCCGAGTTTCCATCATTTGAACCGAAATCGCTCAAAATTTGTCATTTTTAGCATGCCCAGATCAACTTTGGCAGTGTATCACTATCGGCGTACTTCATAGCCTCTAAAAGAATGATTTAATTTAGCCAGTTTCTCTGAAAACGTCCCGTCAACCACATGTTATAAAATCTCAAAAATGAATTCCTGAAAATCCAATCAGTCTTTTTTATGGCTTTAATGAGCAGTGTACAAGAGAGTGTCTTTGTAGTTTGTGTGCTGAATCCTGAGTTGACCCGTGTTGTTGCAATTGGACACAAAAGTCAAATGTCAAACGGATGTTGACGGTACACGTCATGTTCGATAACCTGCCAAATTGCTTCTGTCAGCAATTTTGTGAGTTCACAGTTGATAAATAGATTTGATGAACTGACACTTGTTTGCGTAGCAACTCCTAGGCGCGCAACATGACTAAACGAGGTGAACAGATGGTGTTGCGCATGTACGTCGCTACATAGCAGCCAGAAAGCTTTTACGTTGGTTGTTTCAGAGAGCTAGTTCACTACACACGATTCAAGCATTCAGTTAATGAACACCGGAAAATGTTCTAACAAAAGAATGTTTATTTTACGGCTTATTCTGGATGAAACTGCGTCCTGGTGTAACGGTAGATACTACTGATGGGGGCATGCGAGTGGTATGTTTTCACGTAAATCCGTTTTGCGTCTCTTGAAAAGTGAGATCCATTGCGGAATTTGTGTACTCGTATTTGCTTGGATTTGAGAACAGTAAATGAATATCAAGGAAAGTTCAGGAAGACGCGTTCAAGGAGGAGATGGATATTCAGTTTTTGCAAACAAGATGAATATGAGCGTTTTGCTTCATTGTCCAACAGTCTGTGACTGTTCACTTGGTGTTTTCTAATAGATAACTCCATAGCGAAGGCTTTCTTCCTTTCCATGGTAGCCGAGCTCTTGTTTTCTCTACATGCCAGTAGCTTGCAAGTTCACGTCGAGTTCATTTGCTGTAACATGCCAAACATATTAGGGTTTGTTTTAATGTTTAAGGTTGAAAACAATGGCCCAAATAGATAAGTGAACTCAGAGCTGATATCGTTGACTACCGATGAATAAAATGCTACGAGATGTTGCCTGTGTCACCTATGTATCAACATACTTCAAAACCTTTCGTCAGTATATACCTCGCTCACACTGTAAAGTGCTCAGAAGTATCATAGGTTAGTCAAAATTACCGATTCACCGCGATTAGTCGTTCCATTCATTCACATCCTAGCTCAGTTTTGCAGAGTTATATTACTGTTATTAGTAGTACGTGACAGTAAGACCATTCCCCCTCCCAAATTATTTCCGGGTTCCTTTTTCTGGAGTCGTTGCAAACGTCAGAAGTTCCATAGTGCGCACTCAGGAGCAACAATTAAAGTGTGAACTGCGGAAAAAAAGAGCCAATTAAAAACCCTAGTTTCCGATGGTAAAATTCATTCTAGTACTCAACACCCTTTTCGCTCTTAAAAAGTACTCAGACCTACCTTGATTCCGATTATCAAATCAAAAACCTTCGAAGGATGATTCACTCTGGGCCATAGCTCCCGACTTCGTCACTCCACTTTTTTTCGTTATTTGAATTCAAAACTATTCACTCCTGGGTTTGAGCAGTTTTCACTGAAACGCAAGCCATTCAAATTTGGCTTTGATAATTGTTGCGATGAGAGTTCACTTCAATAGCTGCTTTTGTTTGACTTTTCATCGGTTTTGGTAGTATTCCATTTAGCTCATTGCGTGGTTTTAATCAGTAGAAATATGAAACAGTGACTCACCGAAAATTGCTCAGCTGAGAAGTGCGTGTCATAAAATATTTAAAGTGCGCCACTCAAAGCTGGTCACTCAATCCGGCAACTATTTATTCTCGAGGTGGCTTAGATTCCCATTAAGTAGAGTAGGCCTTCCCGTCTCTAAAATCGTGCCGGGAGAGGCGACTTTGTCGCTCTTCCCACAGTCAACCAATCGTGGACAGTTGGACAAACAGAACGACAACAGTAGTTTGACATAGCCCACACGTGAGTAAACAAACCAAAAGGCAACATGGGCGGCATGGAGCAAATGAGGCGGTTCCGTTTTCTTTGATCAAACCGCCGAGTCTCGGGGGTGGCGCGTTATCCTGATGCTGCAAGGACACTCTGCGGCACTCATAAAAGAACACTATTCAAAACGTTCCAAATGGTCAAGAACTATTCAAATGAGAGTTGACTACTAAGTTAATTTTATGTCCTAAAGCAAGTTAAAAGTTGCTTTGTTTTGAAAACACAACGTTTCGAAAAGCCTGCATAGACATGAATAAGGATGGACTAGCATTTTACCAACTGTGAAAAGTGGTAGCTGACAACTGATGCCAATCAATAATTCCGGGCTATAATTTTCTGGATGATCTCTAGACAATGTCGCTGAGCGTATCCGATATTGATACACATATCAGAGCACTTATTGTCTCTCCATAAGAGAGCACAGAATGTTGGAATAGGGAAAAAGAATAGCTTTATTAGAGTACGATGAATCATGTACGTGACGGTCTTGGAAGAACATTCACTCAGATTGCTATTCCCCACATTCTGGGCATCCTACATAAGCGCGTCATGGAGCCTGGTGAGCATCTTGGGTGTGCTGAGTAGCTCTTTGGCACCGAGTACATACAAGCGGGAATTACACAAAACAAGGAACTCTCAGTTGAACAACTCCAAATGGGGCATGCTTTCAAGAATTAGGTAGCACTGAAGAAATAGTAATTCATATGTCACGTGAAAATCCACTTGACAGGTCGCCACCAGAGTGCACAGCCAATAGGTGAACACGTAATGTGGTGATGTCATTTACAGTTGGATCAGCCGCTCAAGGTCAAACAGTTTATCGTTTAAATCTGCCCCCAAAGAAGGTTGTGACCTTGAAGCCGCTCGTAGCCGAACAATTTACTGCCGGGAGGTTGTGAACTCAAAACTCTCGGGAAATTTCACGTTTCTGGTGATTCAGAGCACAGATGTGCGCACGACCAATCGGTAAAGATCGACTTGTCTTACATAGGATGGGCGCTTTGGAAAGCTTGAGTATGGCAGTGTACGCATATATATATATATATATATATATATATATATATATATATATACT